TTAAAAATCTCATTTACTTCATTTTCATGTGCCTTCAACACATTGTAAAGATCACTTAGAGAAAAGTAGTCGAAACTTTGTTGAGTTTTTATCATCAAGCTGACATTGCGCCATTCCTTACGAAGTCCCAAGATGAAAGTCAGGTTGAACTCCATTTTTGACCTAATGACTCCATATCTGTTGCACTTGTAGATTAGTTCATTCACACGATCGTAATAAAGCTCAATTGATTCACCTTCTTTCTGCTTGAATTCTCTTAATTCAAGCAGACATTGCTTAACAGAGCTTATCTTAGTCTTCTCACTCCCTTGTTATTTTTCCTTCAACGTGTCACAAATTTCCTTTGATGTCTTACAGCTACACACATAGTTGTAAACGACTGGAGGAAGAGCACCACGGAGTTCACGCATACATCTCTTCTCGTTTTTCTGCAGTTTCTCAGCTTGTTGAGCGACATCTTGATTACCAGCAGAAGTTCCAACATTTTGTAACACAGTCGGAGAATGAACTTCTCCAATGATGCATTTCTAGAGATCTTCGTCAATTCCGTTTAGATAGTCTTCCATCCGATCAGCCCATTGATCATAGTATTCTGGAATCAACATAGGAATTTTTTTGATGAACCGAGAATATGAGAATAAGAAGTCATCGTGTTCATATTGAAGTTAGCCATTGTTGTACGGACGAAAATTGTGAAAAGCTTCAGAAATTGAGATTTGATGGACAAAACTTCCAAAAAACAGACACAAAACACTCAATTAAACAAACCGAAAGCAGAATCGAATCAATAAAGAAGATCTATATCGATTTTCGAAATCAAAAGTGCGGAATATTTTCAATCTAGAACTAGACTCAAAAACTTTTGAAAACTTGAGAAAATCAGATCGCAACTGTATGAATCCCGCTCTGATACCAAATGTAGTTGTAATTAATCGAGTTTATGAAAGAAATCAAAGTATAGAAAGAATTATGAACACATGATGTAAATATGATCTGGATGGCTCAATTAAGCTTTTGCAAGATACGGAGAAAAATAGAGTACAAGTCGAAGACTCTCAAAAAACTTCTCTAACTCTAGTACATATCCCATATTTATAGGGATGACAAAAGCGTACAAAAAATTACATAAGGGACTAAACATTACAACTTCGACACTAACTATGCCCTTATGCAAATACAACAAAACAGTCTTCGACACAAAGACGTGACCAGGAAAGCTTCGACACCTCACAACCAATTTCGAATCTTACATAAACGATCAGAAAATATTTGAGGGAACCCTCACACCACAAGCTCCTTAGAATCTCTAAGACCATCCTTGACTCGAGTACATATTCTGTGTTTTCAGTAGTACGGGCCTACTACTACCTTCCATGCCTATCCATACTTACCTCAAGAACCATCCCAAATCCTCTAAGTCACTCCACTAAGGGAAATCACATAAAACCTATGATAAACAACATACATAACCCCATTGTAGTATTTCCTAGGCTTTTTTAGGAACCATCGCCTCACTGGCATTTGAAATACTAGAAATTTCTACCAACACCGTTGGTTGCCTTATGCATGCAAATTGTACACAATAGGGGATCAGATAGATGGCCGAATAATGATTCTACCTTAAGCCCACAACCAAATAAGGAACAAGAAATAAGGCTAAATCAATCACTCTAAGGCTATATGATCCTAACCGTATACAATTTTTGAACATACACTTAACAATTAACTTTATTGATACAATCCCAAGTACTACATAACATACAATCCCTCTAGGATATAAGGTGAGAAACGACTGGAAATGATACTCCTAAGGTCTACTGGAGTAGCTCTTACTCATTAAGACGAAGGTTAAGGGATAAAAAGCATAAAAAAAAACCATAAACTAATTAGATCTATCAAAAGGAACATCAAGATGCAAGCTTTATACCTCCTGGAGAAGGTTGATGAAGTGCAAAGTCTGAATCTACAAAGCTATGGACTCGCAAGAGCTTCTTCAATGGACTCCTTCTTCACAAAACACACAAAGAAACACACTAATGCTTCAAAGCTCTCACAAGATGGCTACGGTTTCAAGATGACTGAAAATGGGGGTGGAGGTTGAGCATGGGGAGGTCCTCAAGGAATTAGAGTCTTTAAATAGGGTTCACGACCCCACAATTAGGGTTTAGGTCCCGTGCACCTACGTCGTGCATAGTCATCTTTACACCCAACGTAGAGCATTAATCCCTCACATGGAATCTTTCACCTACGCCCAACGTAGGAGGCCATCCTACGCCTAGGGTACCCAAAGTGTAGAAATGACAAAATTAAATATAAAGAATTATACATGAGGATACGAGTGTTACACCCCCCCCCCTCTCCACTGTGTTGGTAGTGTGTATTAATTATTATGTAAATTGTAGTAGCTCATTTATGTATTTGTATATCAACTTTCTTTTAATGTACATGTTGTGGCTGGAATTTTTTTTCTTGTTTATATTGGTTTGCTTGTGTCTACATACTTACTCTTTGGTGTTTCATGTTTTTATAGGCGTGTATTTGTCATATGTAGTCGTCTCTATACAAGGTATGATTGTTGATATCTATCTCTTTTATCTTATTTGAGGACATACAGTTTTGTTGTGTTGTTGTTATTCGTGATTAAATAATAAGCGCAATTAGGTTTGTTGTGTTGTTGTTATCCGTGATTACATAATAAGCGTAATTATTCATATTAGAAATTATATAATTGGTAATCACATTCTTTACTTGATTCTAGATTTATATTCTTACAAATTTCTCATAATTTAAATGTTTCAAGTTAAGATAATATGCACATGTATTGTAGAGTTGATTTGTCTTTTTTTCTCGTCTTCTATTTTAAGTTGTTCTGGGCAACAGTTTTATCTAACTAATAATAAATTGACATATTTACTCGTTAACAATTTACAAGGTTCCGGTATATATTACTTATTATTATTATTATTTTTTTTTTTTGTAATTACAATGTTCATGAAGATCTTTATATGAAAGTCGCAAGCCCAAGTGAGTGGAATGTTGGTGAATTTAAATCAAGTTGAGTAGTTGCTATAAATAATCAGTTAATAAAGCTTTGTATCTATCTCATGCTTGATAAAGGTAGCATCATCATTATCATAAAGTATTAATATATGTTTTTATATCATTATGGTATAAGTAACTACACGGGTTAACTCACTCATTCATTTGTTATAATGTGAGATTGAGTTGTCAACTCAATGTGAGTGCATAACGAGTTACAATCTTTAATACTAAAACAATCCAATAAAAATTAACAGACTCAAAATCAACACCATCAATGTCGAATATTGAACGCATGGATTTGTCAGGTTAATAACATGAATGGAAATTAATGTTTGAACACGGTGATCTTGTGGCACCATTTTTTTGTCACAGGTTTCAGATTATTATAAAAGAAATTTCATAGAAGAAAACCCTTAAATTACATATATTTTAAGTTTTTTACCTTAATTTTTTATATACAGATTCGTTAAAATATATTTTTAAAAGTATAAATAAGAGTTTTATAAGTATAAATATGTATTCTTACACATTTAAAATTATAATTATATTTTAAAAAAATATAAATACATATTTTTATGTGTTTGAAGATGTAAAATACAGTTTTTTAAATTATAAAAATATGTTTTATGTTTATATATATATATATATATATATATATATATATATATATATATATATATATATATATATATATATATATAGAGAGAGAGAGAGAGAGAGAGATGAATATCATTTGAAAACTTATAGTTTCCCGAGAACCCGAGAACTAATTTTAGGCCCGAAGATCAAAAAAATAAAGGGTTGAGATCAATTGTGGCATTTTTGTAAATAAATGGAAAAAAATGACACGGGGGTATCTTGATTTTTTTGATGCAAGGGTGTTATTGGAACTAAAATATCAGATTAAATGTCATCCCTAAATCTAAGAACGTCAAATCTTTTTCTCTCTCTCAAAACCCAGCGTCGCACCTCTGTATCGTGAGAGATCTCTCCCCTTTCTCCGTCTGTGATGGCTTCTAATCCCGACTAAATTCCCACTGTGTTGTCAAAGTCGATGGTGCTTCTGATTACACAAATTACTTTATCAAATCCCGACTAAACCGTCTGTGATTGCCGGTTTCTCTTTAGGAATCATGGTTCGTGTTTCATATTTACCCTAATTTCTTTCAGATGTCGATTCTGCAAACGAAATTAACGATTTCAAATCGAATTTCCATAAACTAATTGACGATTGATCTACAACTTGGAATGGGCATCGCGTAAGCATTCAGAGCAGTAGACGTTGTTGATGTTCTTGACCACCACATCAGACGATTTATTTTACTCAGGTAAGTGTTGAGCCTCATCGATCACGGCCATATTGTTCTTCGATTCCGATGTCGGCGAGTCTGCCTCCCCCTCAGCTGACATCGGCGAGTCATCTCCTCCAAAATAGACATCGATGATCTTCTTGACCTCAACATATTCACTGGAATTATGAATATGTTCTGATTTCTTTTGCAGTGAATCCCCAAAAGGTACAAATGATACATCTGCATTTCAGAAAAAGGTTCAAATGACTTAATATTTCTTGTATGCATCTCCTTGTTTGTGAAAGTGTAGTTATAGTGATGCTTTGATCGGACCATGTTTCGTTTACAGATCATGTTTCGTTTGCCATTTTTTTTATCTTGAAATGACGAAACTGACCTTGTATGTGAATCCAATTAACAAGCTATTCTTATATCACATTTAGAATCATCTGGTTCCCTGGATTGCTTATTTGGTGATGAGCAGGATGTAAGTAGTTGGAGCACTAACCCTAGAAATGCTTCTGTAAAAGAAGTAACTTTCTGGTTTCATGATTTTGATGTTTTATTTATTCGTTAATATGTGTAGAAAATGATTCCATTATATCTGTTAGTTTTAGACTTTTATCTTCATCAGATTTTGTTATCAATCTGCTAAAAATACTTACTATGCAGGATCTTGATGAAGGCTGCAATGGCATTGATGACAAGAAGGCTTCCTTACTAATGATGAACTTCACTATTGAGGAAGTCGAGTTTGCGATGAACAAACTTGTTATTGTAATTTGTATTTATTATAAATCATACAAAATATATTTTACCAATTTGTTTTTCTTCTCATGATTCTTAATAGGTGAAGATGCTCCTGTGAACGAATTTGTAGATTTCATCTTTGATGCTCAGTTAGCTAATGCAGATGATAAAAGAATCAGTGTTGAATTTCAGAAAAAGGTTTGGTTGTTCCACCATTAGTCTATCCTTAATCCTTGTAAGTGAGGTCATTTTGTTCTAAAACAGGATATGCTTATTGTAATTGCAGAAAAACTATGGAGTGGGCTTGAACATTTTGTATTTGATTGGTTGATCAATGCTGACAGGTAAGGGCAAGTTATCTTCAGAAACTTGAAGATATCTAGTTGATGTGCTCATTGATTTCAAGTGGCATAATTGGAATTATGTCATGTGGTGTTGTGTTTATTTGATAAATTTGCTCATTACAGGGTTGTAAGTCAGGTTGAATATCCTTTGTTGGCTAATTTGAGGGTGCTCCTTCTAGACCTAGTTGCACAGCTTGTGGGTGCTCTATCACAGATGAGGAGATTGGTAAATTTGGTCAGTTTTTTTTCTTACTATGTGTTTATTGATGCCTAAGACTAAAGTGCACTTTAGAAGAAAGCAATGCATGTTTTGTTTATTTGTTTATTGATGCCCAATCAACCGCTTATGCATATTCAATATTAGATTGTGCAACTGAAATTCGCCTCTAATCGCCATGTTCTCCTTTTCTTTTCAGGGTAGTTGGAAAGCGTTGCAAGTTAGTAGGATGTGGTACTGCTGTACCTATTCTTGAAGTTTCTAATGATGATCTTTCTAACATTGTTGACACAAATGATGAATGGATATCTGTTTGAACTGGAATCTGTAATCGTCGAGTTCTTATAGGTTGGTTTGACTTAATGCATAAAGAATAACTTAATATGAAACTTGAGGCGAATGAGTCTTTCCCAATTCCCATTAAGTCCCTAACTTTTTATAAATTTGTCCTCATCTTGTCCACACAATAACAAGATTGTCTTCATGTTAAGCCATATGAGAGAGATTGGAAGAGAACATTGTACAATGAGTTCAACACTTTAATCTAGATAACTATGGTTGCTTCTTTTTTACTTACTAAATTTATAAAAAGTTTAACATTGTAATTACATGTGATTCACATGTAAATCACATATGAATTACATGTGATTCACATGTAATTCACATATGAATCACATTTGATTCACATGTAAATCACATGTAATTCATATGTGAATTACATGTGATTCACATGTAAATCACATATGAATTACATATGATCCACACGTAAATCACATGTAATTCACATATGAATTACATGTGATTCACATGTAAATCACATTTAATTCACATATGAATTACATGTGATTCACATGTAAATCACATATGAATTGCACGTGATTCACATGTATATCACATGTAATTCACATATGAATTACATGTGATTCACATGTAATTCACATATGAATTGTAATTTACATATGAATTACATGTGATTCTCATGTGATTCACATGTAAATCACATATGAATTACATGTGATTCACATGTAAATCACATATGAATTACATGTGATTCACATGTAATTCACATATGAATTACATGTGATACACATGTAAATCACATATGTATTTTTGTGAGTGTTTTTGTATCAATCAATTTCTTTTTAATTTTCTTGTAGATTTGGAAGAAATTGTGGTGAATATTGAAGAGGTGGAAAATGATAAATTGAAGAAAATATGGAAATATTGACACGAAGACATGAAAACGCTTTGAAATTTGTAGCATTTTTTTATTTATTATATTTTATTTTGTATCGAATAAAATATTTGTACTATTATGTTTATAGATTAATTAATAAATAAGAGATTTGTTGTGATTTACTTACGAATATTATAGTATAAGAAATGTATATATGTGCATTTGAAAAAATATGCACATATGCACCTAAAAATTTACTTTTTTAAAAAAAAATGCAGTTTTTTTGTTAAATACAGTTTTTTCTGAAAAAAAAAGGTAACTTTCTTTAAAAAAACTTAAAATTTTTTTGAAAAAATTGCAGTTTTTTATTTAAAAATGCAGTTTTTTTAAAAAATTCAAGTTCTTTTTGAAAAAATGCAGTTTTCTTTAAAAAAAATTGCAGTTTTTTTTAAAAAAATTGCAGTTATTTTAAAAAAATATTTTTTCAATTTTTTTTAGGAAAATTCATGTTTTCTATAAAAAATTAAAAAATCTACATTTAAAAAAAACGAAAAATATTATTTTTAAAAAAAAATATGAAAATTTGATTTATGATGTAAATTTTTAGACATTTATATTAATATGTTAAATAGCACAAAAAATTAAACATTAAATGAGATTGGTAAGATGACGATCATGTCCTTAATGAATTACTTTTGATCCAACGCTCCACTTTTAGTTCTCGAGTTCTCGGGAAACTATGAATTCTCAACCGATCTCAACCCTCTATATATATATATATATATATATATATATATATATATATATATAGATATATATATATATATATATATATATAGGGCTAGGTTATAATGTAGATGAACAACTATTGTGCGGACGTGTGGACAATGCTATTCTATGAGAATTACTAAGAGAATAGATTGTTTATTAATGTGAATTCGTACAATCTTACACAACTATTGTCATTTTCATGCATCTTCACTAATTTTTATTCATGTTTGTTCTCACACATCGTTTTTTACTAATTTTCATTCTTACAGAATACGACTCAATAAACATTCTGACAGAATGAGAATAATTAAAAAAAAATCTATAATAACCTAATAGACGACTTAATTAGTGATAATGCGTGATAATGACAATAATTATGTAAAATTGAACGTATTCACATTACCAAACAACATATTTTCTTTATCATTATCACAGAATAGCAATATCCACACGTCCACACAATAGATGTCGATTCACAGTTGAACCTAGCCCTATATATATATATATATATATATATATATATATATATATATATATATATATATATATATATATATATATATATATATATATACATTATATTAGAAACATAAATAAAAATTTTTTAATTTTTTTAAAGTAGAAATATGTATTTTATCATTCTTTAGAAGCATAAATATGAATTTTGTATTTTTTTAGAAGTATAATTTTATTTTTTAGAGTTATTAATATTTTTTCAAAAGTATAAATTTGTATTTTTAAATATTCAGATGTATAAATATGTATTTTTATATTTTCAGAAATATAAATACATATTTTTATATAATCTCGTTTTTTATTGATATACTTCTAAATATATATATTTACAGTTGTAAAAACATATTAATACTCCCGAAAATATACTTAACTTCTTAAAAACGTAAAAATGCATATTTAAAATTTTAAAAATATATTTATATTTTTTTGATACGAAAAAAATTTGTATTAATACATCTAAAAATATATTTTTACACTTTAAACATTATAATGTATAATTAAGAAAAAACTCATATATAAAAAATGAAAATATAAATATATTGTTCAATTAAATAATTTTTTCACTTATAAATATGTTTTTCTATTCTAATAATATGTATAATATGAAAAAGGAAAACATATTTAGGATAAAAACGTAAAAGGTTTGTAAACTTAAGTTATAATTTTTTTTTATGTTAACCTCGAAAATTATGATAACATGTAACAAGGGAAAAAGTTGAAAAAAGTTTTCAAGCTTTCGATTTAACGCACCAAAAAAATGATGTTAGGATAAAATTGTAATTTTTTGAAAAATTTAAAGGTTTTTATATCAATATCCCTTTAGTTTAATTCAAATTTACTACTATATCTAAAATCAATTCAACCATAAAAAGGATGCTATGGAATTGGAACAATTATTTAATTATTTGAAAGACTGGTCTTCTAAGTAGGCCTGGCAATGGAGCGGGTTCGGAGTGGACCGACCTTGATGCAAACCCGTTAAGCAATTTTGTAACACCCTGTTTCGAGTCGAATCATAATTTGGGGCCGTGAACCGAGGATCAATTATCATAAGGCTTTGGGCCTTGGGGAAAGAGAGGTTTAGACCCATTTGGTTGTGGATAAGGTAGGTTGTGGGTACCGAGAGTTCGGTTTGTGCTTTGGAGCCCAAGGGTATAATGGTAAAAGTGATGGTTCGGGCCTTTCATGAATTAAGGATTTTAGTTCGAGGTGTTCAAAGTCAAAAGTAATTAGATAGGTTTGTAAAGCTCCTCATTACCTTTCTGTGGATATAAAGATCATCGGAAACAGAGTTGGGACGCAAAAGTTATGGCCATCGGAAGATAGAGTGGTAATCGGAAGATAGAGTGGTAAGGGGCTTGCCGAGTACGATGGGCGTACTTGGATGGAATAATCGGGAAGGCTCATTCGCGTACGTTGAGCGTACCAGATGTAGGCTGGGCGTACGCGACTCAGTCTCAAACCCTATTTTAGGGTCTTGGACCCTATTTAAAGGCATTAACTCATTCTCAACCCTCTTATCTTCAGCCTCCATCCCATTTAACCCTAAATTCTAAACCCCAGCCTCTCTTGTGTGAATTTCAAGCCTTGGTGTGCCTTGGAGAAGAAGGAGATCTTGTAAGAAGCATTGCGTTTCTTAAAGCTTATGGATCCAAGCACTAATCATCTGCATCAACTTCCAGGAGGTATAAAGGCTTCTAACTTGATGACTATGTGTTAGCTCTAGTCTAGGGCTTGTTTTGGGTTTATTATGGTTCCTAGAGTCATCCTTGTGAGTATGAGCTACTCCGAGAGCTTAGAATGCTAGATCTTAGCATTTCTAAGGTTTTTGGTGCATAAAAATGTCACATTGATGGGTTTTGATGAATCATGCTTAATATGGTGTTCATATTATGGGTTTAGATGGATAATAATGGGTTTTAGGTCCCATTAAGACATGCAAAGGAGTAAAGTTGGCAACTTTATGGATTAAGACCTTACTTAGAGGTTAGATCTGAGTTTGGACGTTTAGGTATTAAGCATTAAGTGCTTGTTGAGAGTTTTGGTCCTCTGGTGAGTACGTTGGGCATAAGTATGCGTACACTCAACATAATTCATAAATTCCCTGATTTCAGCTTTGGCGGGTTGTACATTGTGTAGCAGCAGGCAGTATGCCGAGTATACAAATCTGGTACGCGGGGCATACTCCTGGAATGCTCTTTTGGGCCTTGGGTCTTTTGGAGTTTGGGCCATGGGTTATTGGATCAGATATGAGAAGGGTAAAATGGTCTTTTACCCATTGGAAGGATAGGATATAGTTTGGACCTTGGATTTTGGGAAATGACCTTAATTATTGATTAGGGATATTTTGGTTGTGTTCAAGGTGAGGATTCCGGTAATAGCAGCGCGTGTGTTTCGGTTATCTCAGATTCAGGTGAGTCTCCTCATTGTACCCGTGGGTCAAAGATACCAATGTCGGCCCACTAGGATATGTTATGCTAATTATCTTTGTGACTCTTGCATGGTATGTTGGGCTAGGCCCATTATATGACGGGATAGGCCCATTTGTATGTTGGGTTGGGCCCATGGATCAGGAAGGGCTAGGCCCAATGTATGTTATGTAGGATGCTAGCTGTCTCTATGACTTATGCATTTGTATGTTGGATTGGGCCCATTGATTTGGAAGGGCTAGGCCCATTATGATAAGTTGGGCCCAATGTGCGGGCTATGCCAAATGATATGTATGGTATGTGGTATTTGGTGGAAACTCACTAAACTTTGCGCTTATAGTTTTATGGTTATTGTTTCAGGTACTTACGGTTCGAAAGGGAAGGGCCCGGCTTGATCGCAGCGCATCCACCCATGTTTCCGCAA